ATGCTTGGAAAATTCAACTCGGCAAGATCACTCTCGCGAGCGAACACTACGTTCCATTATTTATAACGTCATTCATTACGCGCAGTTACCGTTAATAGTATAAGTGAAATTTTAAGAAGCAGAGGAAAATTTTACCTCGAAGAGCGCATTCTTTCAGTACAATTCCAGCATCGGTTATCGTTGCGCTAATAATAGTAACAACCCCTGCGTTCCTACAATTATCTAGTATTATTAAGCCAGAAACGATAAAGACGGTAATAAAACAAAACTTTGGTTTCGGCTGAGAAACTAAAACGTCGTGTCTAACGGTTTGTTGTTAAAACGCAATGGAAAAAAAAAAAAAAAACACGAAAATAGAGCGAGAAAAAGTTAATCGATAAATTACTGGCTAATTAGGAAGTCCCAATTAGTCTCGAGGAGAGATTAGTTTGGTATGTTTAGAAGCTAGTTTGTGATTTCGCAAAGAACGGAAGTACCATTGTAATTCTCTTGTGTGCGCAAATCATGAGCCTTATACGTGAATTAGAGAAGCCTTAATTAGAGAATACTTTACATCTCACGGCGATTAGACTAGAAATCAAAATACAGTTAAGCAAGCTATAATATTGACATGGAACAGAGAGATTTTTCAAGAGAGGGATCTTCTTTATTTTATTTGTACCTCTAAAAAATATTCATGATTCGCATACAAATTATCGATATTTCGACATCGACGGAACATGCAGACTTTGAATTATTCGGGAAACTGTTTCTCAATTTGTGCATTCGTATATTTCAACATTTTTCTAGAAGAAAACGATGCGATTCAGCGTATTTAGTTTACGAGACGCGAGTATTTTCCAATGTACGCGTCTCGTATCACGAAGGCGACTTGGACTTCCAAGAGTCCGCCGCGCGTACGGTACGTCCTATAAATAGAATAAATTTTAAGGGCATCCCACGCGTCGCGCGCGACAGCTGCCGCAGCTCGACCGTGATATCGAGGAGTTCGCCATCGTGTATCTACCACTGCGCGCGCTTTTCCTATAGATACGTAATAACACGTGCGTCATGCGGTGCGTTACGCACCGTGCGAAGTACAGTTACGCCATTGTCGTGTAAGAGTAAGTGAAGAAAAAAAGAAATATGTCAGTAGTTTCTCCCTTTTCCGTATATTATTAGCAGAATATTTGAATTCGCTGACACTTTGATTTTTCTCCTATTGTAAGAAACATAGCTGCAATTTAATCAAATCGTATAGTTTAAAAAAAAAATATTAATATATTTTGTAAATGTTATTTTTTTTTTCACGTATACAGGATGTCGACATCTATCCCTCACATTTCTTGCTAGCAAGATTCATTTTGTTCGGCGATAATAAATTCCTTCGCGTAAAGCTCCTTTCCATCAGGGAAGTTTTAATCAAGAACGATTACGCGAAGGATCAACTTTGTACCGAGTCTCCGGCTCCAGACATCGCCGTCGTATCTTCGTAAATGTCATGTCTTTCCTGCAATCTTTATCAGCAGGCCCGAAATGTAGGGTCTGCTGGCGCGTTTTCCTCTGCAAGTCCGGAAATTATGACTGAGCGATGTTGTTTTATTCATAAGAGCGCTCCTAAGGCGTACGACAGAATCGATATGCACAGTCGTGTATGTATGTACTTGAAAAGGTTACATAAAATTCATCGTTTGACACGGCAGCCCCACATATGCGGATCCTATTTGATTATCCTATTTAATTATCGTCGTGTATTAAATTTTGCCCGGACGAAGAGAAAGAGAGAGAATGCACGCGAGTAAGTCAGTAGAATTCTCTGAACGCCAGCTGGGCCCAACATGTTGCGGAAACGGACCCCTACTTATTTTCGAAGGCCTTAATCCTTCGATATCCCTCGGCGAACTTTCGGAAAGTGAGGGGGATCCTTTGAGCTCGCTTTACCTTCCCCAAATTCCTCTCCCTCCCTCTCTCTTTCTAGCCCCTCTTCCCCAAAGGAATTCTGAAAATGTGTAAATTTAATATTATAATTATATATTTTAAAAAATGACTCGTGATATTCAGAAAAACTATCATATTATCTTATCTACGAATAATGAAGTGTGACAGTTACGTAATATTTGATTTTGCAAAATTCACTTCATTATTGCAATTCAAATGGCAGAATATTATATTAATTAAAAACACAAATATTATTTTTCATCAAGAGTGGTTGCTCGAAACTAGTATTCCGACGATTGCGCTTTGTTGAAGAGCGTGCATGAAGGCTGGGCCGGGGACTTATTGATTTATTCAGAGGGTGAACACAACCCCCATTACCATCCCCGCCCTCTCCTACCCCTCTCCCCCCACCCGGACAAGCAACGTTGGGGGGCACGCGCGTCATTGTCCTCGACCACTCTCACTATCTCCACAACCCCCGACGAGGCAGCCTTGCGAAATTGCAGCTGATGCCGTTCCTCCAACAAGTTGTCGGCGAGCTATCCCGTCACGCCTGGCCAATCACATGTCCGGTAGCATGTATAATGCAGAAAAAGGAACAGTTTGTCAATTCGCCAAAAAAAAAAGAGGGACATTAAACAGCAGCGTTACATGTAAAATATCATGTAATAGAAAATGACGAAAAAAAATTGAACAATTTTAATTTGTGCCTCCCATATATACATGTGATTAATAAGGAGGGAAAAGAAATTTTGCACTCTGGAAAAAAGTTTTTGTTCGTATTAATTGAATTTGAACTAATCGCGATCTTATCCTTTTCGTGTCATAAAAACGATTGTCATCCCGGCGACATTCGCGAATCGGCCTTCGCCGTAACCTTGACAGATCTACGCGCGTCTCGCGTTTCTAATCTCTCCTGTCGGCGAACGCGAAGAAATCTCGAGATTCCGATGTCCTAAATATGGCAAGCAAATTACATTTCGATGAGTCCAGTCTCTCTTGGGACGATTTGTGTAAATTAATCATTTGACTTGTATAAACTGACATTACAATCTTTATTTTTTATATTAATGTACGCTACTCTTTCCGATATTTTTATTTGGGATATAAAAAGATATTTTTATATAATCTGGCTTTTTTTTTTCTATATTGCAAATAGGTATTCTTTAGAAATTTAATTACTCGACTCAAACAACGGATAAATAAAATACACGCAAATGAAGCATTATTACCAAGAAATATCAGGTCAATGAACCCGGTACATTCGAGTCAGCAACGTTACGAGAAATGTCGGGGCAGATTTTCAGTAGGGACTGAAAAGGTCACGCTTTCGTGTAGGTTAGGGCTCTTTAAGGATATACAGTCCAACTGGTATACGAACGGCAATCGCATTCCACGACCAGTTTACTAGTCATGTCCCTATTCCCCAGGTATGGACCGTCCCTCTTTTTCCGACACCCTCCTCCTCTTTCTTCTCTTCCCTGTGATGATGTCATCGTCGCTCTTTCATCATTCTTTTGTCGTATATAGACTGTCTTCGGTCTCGTCTGCGAACCGAAAAACATGGTGTATAAAGAAAAACGTGTCCTACTTGCACCCACGGAATATATTCCAACCCCGCGGATTGAAATATTTTTAATCAGGTAAACGCTACTTGCACGTAAAAGACGATGGAACAAGAAAGCGAATTTAAAAAGCAAATGGGTTCAAATCGCGGAAAGAAGCAGCTAAGAAAGCGTGAACATTAAGATTCCTTTGCAATTTTTAATTACAGAATTACCGATCGCAAATTATAAATAATTGTAGAACAATTCGCTCTTTTAATTATACGATTTATTAGATTAAAAAAATAACACAAATATTCTTAAATTTTTTTAAATAATATATCAAGTCGCGGAGATTATAATGTGTTCTGACTACGCGGATAGGATTATTTTCAAAAGATCGCGAGACTCTTTTGTTAGCTAACAAAAGACGAATGACACGAAGGCGTGAGCTTCTTTCTTACCTCGTGGATTTCATTTCCGACTGACCGAGTTTACACGACGGATTTATCAACCCGCCGGAAAACGACCGTGCCTATCGATCGATCGCGCGTCTTACTTTTCGCTCTCTTAATAATCGATCTCCCATATCACCTCTATGACGCTCTATCAACATCTGTCCGCTGTAAGCATTTAAGATGAAAAATGTGAGATTTCCTCCTCGTTTGCCAAAGTAAACATACTTGAATGTCAACTTGCGACAAAGTTTGATACTGCATGTGACCTTTAGACTTCGCTTATAGGTAGCCCAAAAAATAATAATTAAATTCGCGCGTTTTATATATATACACACACATATATAAAAGCAAGTTAAATATCTATAATAAATGTATATTTTAATGATATTTATATATACATATACATATTTATTATTTAGAAAATTTTTCAATGCCAATACATTTCATAATATAACATTCTACATTTTATAATTTTAATATCTTTTTCTCTGTAGCTATATTTTCATTGTTTTTCCGTGCACATCCATTACGTTGTGGAATCTGCTTCGCGATGAAAGCCGGCATGGGGGTACCGCCTGCTGCGAATAAAGCAACCGTTCCATTCCGAATAATTGGCCTAATGCATTATTGCTCCTTATCTTCTCGACCGAGTCATCTAACCGACCCGTCAGATGATATGCGCTCGTTGGGGAGCGCATACATTTCAATGCGCTATTACGCATTTATGCTCTTACCTCTTCGATTACTGCGTCTTTCATAACTGAACGCGCCCCCACTTTGCATGCCGCACATTTCCTTCAATCTGCTCGATTGTTTTTATGCATTTTTATGCATTTTGAAATGTTTTTATTGTATATTTATCTTATTATCAGAGTAGAATCTCTTCTCATGTTTATATAGACTTTTCATAGATATTCAAATAAGGGAATTTGGTAAAATTCCACTTTTAATAATACCTGTAGCTATGTTTGATGAACGAGTTCATGTATCCTTAAAATATAAATATATCTTCCCTATATGTTTTGTACATTGTTATCTTGCGTTTCTTATCGTAATTTCGAGTTATTCTTTGCTGTTGCAGGAAGCGGCAGCAAAGACGGGAAGAACAACAAGGACACCAACTCACCCTCTGGTCCTTATGCCGGTAAGTTGAACAATCATTTTTTTCACATATATTTAAATAATATTTTATAGAGGTATAAAGAATTTTAATTCTCCACTCAAAATCTTTGTTTTCGTAGCTATATTTTTTTCCGTTAGAAAGCTTCATAATCCTATGTGAAGTATCATTTTTTCGAATACAAATTTAGATATGATAAACCTGTAATTATAAAATGTGTTCTGTGTTTGAAAAAAGACATAGAGAATTATGTTAATACCATCCGGATAGATTTGCTGTGTTTGCTGGGAAATAAATATTTTGAACTC